ACGCACCCACGCACACACACACACACACACACACACACACACACACACAAACTCTCTCTCTTATACACACACAAACACGCGTCTTTACCAGACGAAGAGGAGCACGCCGAGGCTCCAGGCATCGACGGGCAGCCCGTATCCGCCGGTGGCGGCGTGCGTCAAAACTTCGGGCGCCAGGTAGGATGGCGTCCCACACAGCGTCCTCATCAGGGCCGCCTCCTCCAGGATCCGCGACTGGTTGAAGTCCGTCACCTGATGCGCACGCACGAGTGGGTCACGTGACTTTGTTGAAGCGTCGGCGTGACGGCGCGCGTGGGCCAACCTTGATGAGGCAATCGTCCTCCTGCGACGACAGGAGGATGTTCTCCGGTTTCAGGTCCCGGTGGATGATACCCTGGCTGTGCAGGTACTACACGCGCACGCACGCACGCACGCACGCACGCACGCACGCACGCACGCACGCACGCACGCACGCACGCACGCACGCGCGCACGCACACACACACACACAGTCACACACATCTGTCAGACACGTGCCTGCACAGACAAATTGACAGACACACGTACATGTAGACGCACGCACGCAGAGGAGTTGGACGACGAAAGCATGGTTGGTGTCTCACCTGCACGGCTTTCAACATTTGGTAGAAGTATAGCTTGGCCGTGGCCTCGCTCAGTCGCTGTTGCGTTTTGAGGCGGTTGAACAGCTCGCCGCCCTCCATCCTGTCACATGACGGCGTTAGAAAACGTGCTCGCTCGTGCGAGCGAGCGCGTTTTCTAACGCACACTCACAACTCCAGCACGATGAAGAAGGTGTCGTCCGTCTGGTAGAAGTCCTTGGTCTTGATGAGGCACGGCTGGAGACAAAGCACAGCGGGGACGATGCCATGACTTTTACACGTGTGTTACATATATGTACAAAGTACATATGTGCCACATTAAACGCCAGTGCATGAGTTCTGAAATAAAAACCAAACAAGCTCACGTGATCGATGCGTTGAAGAATTTCGATCTCCGTTTGGGCATTTCTTGTGGCCGTCTGCGAAGGGATGAGACCAAAGGTCAGAGGTCGAGCATCGGGGGCGGGGTCAAGGCACGGGCCAATGGGAGAAAAGCACACTGCAGCTAATACTCGCTCCTTCAGACTTGAAGTTGCTCTTGTTGATGATTTTCACCGCAAACTTCTTACACGTGGAGCGCTCGAACGCCAGCTTCACCTCGCCGCACACCCCTCTGAAAGACAGCCTCGGCGGAAGTGACATCACGCGTCGCAGGAAGCGACGTCACGGGTGAGCACACTCACGTCCCGATCCGTCGAGTCAGCAGATATTTGTCACGAAGCTCCCCGGGCAACGTGGACTCTTGGTCAGACATCAGGTCGATGAAGACGAACACTGAACAAAGACGTGGTTGTTACGCTTGCGGCCGTCACCGCGGCGATTTGGATGTTTACCTTTGTTGCGATGCTCCGACAGCGCCAGCACTGCGTTGTTGACCAGAGGAAGTTTCTTGTTGCGTCCGATTTTGTTCCCGTCAACGAAGGTCCCGTTGTTACTCAGGTCCTGAACAAACACCTCGGTGCCCTCCTGAGGTCAGGTCAGACAAGGAAAGGTCAGGGAAGGTCGAGTAAGGTCAGGGGGGGAAGGAGGAGGAGCCTGAGCTACCCTGTAGATCCTGAAGTGTTTCTTGCTGTAAATTCGAAATCGTAAGGATCCTTTGTGATCCGGATCGTCCAGGACGTAATTACATTTGGAGTCTCGGCCAAACAAATACTCGTCCTCCACGCAATCTGAAAAACAGCACACACACATGCACACAAAATGATCGCTAGAAACTTGAAACGTAGGCCATGCATAATAAAAAGAAAATAAAAGGCTGTCTCGTGCAGTTCAAAATACGAAGGCAACAAAATGAAAATAACGACAGCATGAAAAGACAGTTAAAAATTCAGTTCAAATGTATTCTATGTAAAAGTTTAACAGAACTGAACTTCAAAGAATGTACTGCACTTGAAAACACATTTCTACAAACGGCCTGAAGAAGCTGTAAACTTGCCGTGAGCGCGGAAGCCGTTCTGCATGGGCAGCAGGCGTCCCCAAGGTTGACTTTCGGGCTCCTCGGGGACGGATGGCAAGGTGACAGGAAGCGTGTCCACGCTGCTCAGCGTCCCCGAGCCACTTGATGACTGGCTGCCTGACGTGGGGCCACTGGAGGAACTGGAGCCGCCCTGGGACTTGGACTGGGCCTGCGACGGGGACAGAGTGGACTGGGCCTGCGAGGGGGACTGGGGCTGGTCCCCCTTATTCGGAATGTCTTGGGACATTGGTGCCTACGAATTGCAAAAACATAATTTACCACTCAGCAAATCATATTGGGAAAAGTTGACTGTTAATTTGTCAAATAGTCACTGAGGGAATGACACTGCTCAGTACTTCTAGGCTGGGGGAGGGGAAAAAGTGATTGGTATCAATTAAACCACTGGAAACTTTATTTATTTTTTTAAGTCAATTGTTTCCCCGATTTGAAATTGACAAGAAAATTTATTTGTGTTGCGCTCATCGCATGTGGTGTCTCTCCTTAGTTTCGCTGTCCAGTAGCTAGCTTACCGTGGTTAGCCTCAGATTCAAGATGTTGGCCAAATAAACGTGAGTGTGAATGAAGGTGTTCAATAAATGTACAATTTTAGTCAATATTTTTTTGTCCGTCTGGATATTTTTCTGTCAGGAAATTGAAACGAATGAACGGGGGTTTACAATGCTTCACAATTGTGGTTTTTTCCCCCTTACACCAACGTTTAAGGCTCTAAATTCCATTAGAGAAGTTAAACATTGCATAAAGTGCACGTGCCATTTTGTCACATCGGGGATAAAGCGATTTATCCCCGATTTACTTTTAAACAATGCCTCCAAGATTTAAGGCGTGCATTTCGGCAGGCGCCAATGGGCTGCCAAAATTGATTGTTGCTTGCCTCTTTCGATTTTCACACATGCGCAGAAGAGATCTGCAAGTGGCTTCTCGACTATAATGCACAGTAATTACACTTGACACGGGGTCACATTATGTTTGCAACTCGCAAGTTCAGGCAGCTCCCCTGGAAGCAGGCATTGGAGTTCACATGAGACAGAAAAAAAACAAATGTGTCAGAAAGTTTGTGGAAAATCTCCAAAAGTTCTCAGGAAACAAAGCATAAACTGATCTGAGAGCAGCTGCCTAGGCGCCGCAGCCGACTCCGCCCACTTAGAGGGTTACTCGGCGCTCAGGCGGCTCAAAAAAACCGACAGAGAAGCCAAGGGACCGCAAATGGCTAACGCCCGACTAGTTCGCCGGCAAGCCGCCGCCAAGAGAGGCGAGCGAGGACCAGGCGTGTTTTTACCTTGCTTGACGCACATGCGAGCGTCGTCGTCGTCCTCTTTTTCCGGTACAGCAGGCGCGCGAATAGTTTGAGCGGGAGCCTCACAGGAAGTCCAGGCCTTGTTTTCCTTTTGGGTCGCCAGCCCAGCTGACCAATGGTATGTTAGGAACTACGTCACGTGGCGCTGCGGCCGCTCGTTGCTGACTTCCGCGTTTGTGGGGGAACGACGAGCGATGATCGATCATCGGTGATCGATGTGACGTCACCATGTCCAAACGCGAGACCCGCGGGAAGACTTTAATCATCACCGAAGGTGTTTGATCATTTTCTAATGTTCATTTTGACACAATATTTGGTTGCTTGGCAAAGTCGACGCCGCTCCTCGGAGTTTCCATTTTGTTGACCAAAGTTCTCGGTCGGTGGACTCCTCAGATGAAAGTGAGGAGTCCAATCCCTTCTCCTTCAGAGAGTTCCTGCGCACCAAGAACCACGACCGGGACCAAGACCTGGTTGACGACCGGGGCCGGCATGAGGATGCGTCGGTGTGGGAGGTGTGTGACGTTGGCTCGGGGTATGCTCTTTTTTAAATTCACGTAAAGCAATTAAAGTAGCCTTCCAAAACTTTTTTTTCCTATTTGGTTATGATCCGTTTTGCTGCTACATCCCCCCAAAAGAATGAAAACAAACTTTCAATATCACATACAGTAGTAATGTGATAAGTTTCATGTTTTAATTGCATAAATGTGAAGCGTCAACGTGACATCATTGCCGCATTTTGACGGGATAAATATCACGTTTTAACGTGGTAAATATCACGTTATAATGTGAGAAATTTCACGTTTTATTGAGACAAAATGGGCTTCACATTTTGACGTGATAACTTTGGGGACAGTCGGAAAAAGCTCAACGTGGTTTGATGTGAGAAAACTATGACCATTCCTTCTCAAAATTCCCATGCACGTCTCTCTACTCATGCCCACTTCAACATCTGAAAATATCAAAACAATTTTCACAATATTTGGGATTTTAAGGGCATGAAGCTTGACTGATTGGCGACATTTGCAAACATCTGCTTTTACTTTTGACGACACAACTGGATTTTTGGCTGACATGTTTGGGCTCTGGTATCAAAGCGATTGCAATTTGTTTTGGGGTGGCTGGCCAATCAGGAGGAGAGCGGAGCATGTTGGCAGAGCTTGCAATCCGACCCGGATAGCGCCGCCTCCCTCTGTGCAGAGGAGGCGGAGACGAGCGCGTGAGTGGGCCGAACGTCGCCGTCGTACGTGTAGACAGACATGGGCGATGACATCAGCGCTCATCTTCAGGTTCTACGACGGGGACGATGACGTCACATTGCCAACGGGATACCAGGGAAAGATTTTACAGGAGGTATTCGTCCTCACGTCATTAATCCGTAATCTGTCATTCACTGATTTATTGATTCATCAGTAAATTCATACCTCCACCAAGCTCTCTGTCTTCCATTCATTGGTCAGCCATTATTTGTCCACCATCAATCCGTTTATCCATTTTTTTTCTCAATTAATTCATCATCCACACATCGAGCGCTCATCTATCCATACATACATCACTCATCCATAATCTGTGTATTCATCTATCATTTGTTCATTTATCCATCTATCATGCTGGTTTTGGTGTGACGGATGCGTGGCGTAGCTGTACTTGGCGGCGTGTCGAAGTGGATGTTAGCCTTCACTTTTACAAAAGGGTGCTCTGCACCGTTGTGGGCGTGAACATAGCTGAACTATTTTACCACCCATTTAAGTGGCTTCTCTTGTTCTGTGGCACACTCACATCTGCTGTCTGGGATGGAGACGTCTCCGTGCCGAAAGGGACGCAGCCATCTTGGTGTTTGCCCGCAAAAATGCGTACCCTCATTAAATGAGCTGGTGAGAAGTTATGATGTGTGCCTGTGTGTGTGCGCGCAGCTGCGTGAGGAGAACATCTCACTGAGAAGGGCCATCATGGAGCTTCAGAGAACATCAGATGCAAACGAGCGAAGGTGAGCAGCAGCCTATGGGGGTGACCAATCCAAGCGCTCGCTGGCTCATGACGGGCTGCTCTGCGTGCAGGGTGGAGGCGCTGGAGGAGGAGCTTGCGCAGAGACAACAGCAGGAGCAGGAGGAGGCGCGAGACCTGGACAACATTGTCCACTCTGTCGAGCGCAACCTGCACGAGATGACAGTGCGTTCGTGGACAATGCGGGAATTTGCAAACATGACGTGAAGACGGCACCGCCGCCAACACGACATCGTGCTCATGTGCGGCTGACGCATTGGTGCAAAGCCAGGAATTGCCCTTGGTCTTGTGATAACGGTGCATTTGCGGGCACCACCCAACTTCCAGGCATTAGCATGTGACAATGATGATGATGATGCTTTCATGGAAAAAAGGAATTTTCAGTCATGTATGATGACATGGGTCCAGCTGATAAGGATTTTTATTTTTTTTTTTTGAGGCTCATCCCAATATTGGCACAATAAAATTCTAAATGCCATTCAGTGACCAATAGGGCAAATAATTCAAATAATTTACAGTAAAATGAATAACTGGTATGAATTCCAGGGAGAACATTTGAGCGATATTAGCCGATTAATCGGTCGGGACAACGGTGCATTTACAGACCCCATGTGACTCTCCATCATCACGTCATGTTGTTTCGAACACCATTTTACTTTGTCCCTCTTTTGTCAGAAACGAGCACTGAGAGCCGAGAACGGCATGTCCAAAATGAAGGCGGAGCTTCAGCAGCTGCAGGTGATAACGCTCGCACGCACGCACGCACAGGCACGATGAACACGAACATGAAGCGTGTGTGCGCATGCGTGTGTCAGGAGGAGCTGGAGCGCACGCGCCGCGAAAACGTCAAGCTGAAGTCGGACGAGCGCGACGTCATCACGGCGATGAAGCGCAACGCCAACTTGGCATCCGACTACCTGGACAAGACAGCCACGCATGCGCACTCGTCTATAAGGTCGGTCCGCGTACGGATTGTTTCTGGTCCCCACCAAAGGTTTTTCGAGTTCCCAAAACGAGTCGTGACCCACCTTGTGCTCCGTCCGTGCAGTCGTCTGCTGGAGGGGGCGGAGTCTCTGCATCTGGTCTCGCAGCTGCTGCGCTCCATCCACAAAATGACTGACGTCACTGCCGACATCTGAAGCGCACGTCGCCATGGAAACGAGGAGACGCCGATTGGCCGGTTTGTCGCGCCGGCTTGCTGATGCTTGGAACGGACACTTTCTCTTTGATCTTAATAACCCAATAAAACATTTTTGGATTCCTTTTTCTTCTGCGGCTTTATTGACAACTGATGACCTCACAGAGCCAACAGCTAGTCAGCATGAGTTTGCGCACACACTTGTGTGGACATGGTGTGTGTTCCGACTGCACAAGTATGCATATGTGGGGTGGGTGTGTGTGTGCGCGTGTATGTGAGTGTGCCTATCAGTGTGTGAGTTTGTGTATTTGGACCCTCCAGTGTGTCTTCCAGCTTTGAAGTTCATTAAGTCGTCTTCGTTTGTCCGCGTCGGAATGTGACAACTGTGACAAGAACACCTGCTCAAAACGCTAATATACATGCACACAGAGACACACACACACACACGAACACTTGTCACCCAAATGCATGGCCGTGACGTGAGATGTGTCTGTCACATGATCACATGATGTGTTCCTGTACTTTTCGTGTGTGCTTGAAAATGAGTGTGAAGTTCGCGTCATGACCTTGCGGGTGCATGCGCTTATGTCACATGACCTGCTCCTGTGTACATTTTTTTTTTTTTTTTTTTTTGAGTGTGTGAATGTGTGTGCGCGCACCTTGGTGGCAGCATCTCTGTGTTGGATGATGGCCAGATGTCCCAGCGTGCACTTGGAGGTGGTGATGGCTGCGGTGGTTGCAGTGGTAACGGAGGACGCGGGGTTGGCAGGAAGCGACATGTGAGGAATCCCCGGCCAAATTCTGAGGAGCGCACACAACCAGCAGGCTTTTATTGTGAAGGATTGACGGGACGTGACGGCGGCGGGTTCAAGGCTGACGGGCGCTACCTGCAGGCTTGCTGCGTAGCTTCCATGGCGACGTCTCTGTCCTCCGACGTCTGCTGTGACGTCACTTCTGATCACATGACACCAACGTCACCATGGAAACAAGAGCGAGCACATATTCACACAGGTCATTGGACACAACACACATGTGCCAATGACACACTCACACAAATTGCAGGCAGTGTTTCCAATTGATGTATGGTCAAACACATACGATATTTATTCATTTTCAGCCCATTTGAGCAATTTCACACACACACACACACACACACACACACACACACACACACGCTGGTCATGTGACCGACCTGGCAAAGGAAGACGGTCCATCTGATGGAGGAGGTGTTCCGTCAGGGATGCCAGTGATGTCACAAACTCCTCCCCTCTGCGTCTCATACACTCCTGCACACGGGTGGCGGGTGAGAGGGTCACGCAGCGTATCACCATGGCAACCCGGAGCCTACCTGAAGTTCCCGATGGGAGCCCAAGATGGCGTCGTGGAGTCTCTGTTGTCGAGCCTCCTCGGCGCGCTTCAGTGCCTCCATCTCATTGGTTGAGAGCGACACACGAAGACCGGCCATGCTCGTCGTCTGACGACACATGACAACCAACGGCATGCTAATGCTAATCAAAGGTCGCGCAGTAAAGACATCAGATGCAAGCCATCAATCCAAATGATGCTAATGCTAACAGTCGTGACGTGGAAAGAGCATCCTGCGGTCGTCATGCTGATAGTGTTTTGTCGTGCAAATCCGTCGGGCTATGTTGCGGTATCGCAGCTAATGCTAATCATGGTTGTCATGGCAATGTAGTCTTAAACAACTATTTGCGAGTCGTGCTACTTGCCATGGCGATAGTTTTCACTCACTGACATCAGCGCGTCCCATCAATCCAAAAAATGTTAATGCTAACAGTCATGTAATGCAGCCAATCAATCGCATGGTTGTCATGACGATAGTTTCGTATGAGGCAATCCGTTCGGCTACGTTAAGGTAGGCAAGCTAATCCTAAACATGGTTGGCATGGTCATCAACATTTTGTTAGCCGTTCTAATGCGAATGGCACGGCGATGGTATCTCAGGTGTCATGGCGATAGCATTAGCATGCTAACAGTAACAGTTTCCACGGCAAAACCTTCTCCTCCTCACTGGCGGCCATTGTTTCCTCAAAGGAGCGGCGGACTCGACCCGCCTCTTCCTTCAGCTCCACCCCAAGATGTTTCTCGTGCGTACGGATCAACGTGGCAGGCAGCAAATGCATCATGTCGGCCAACACGCATTGCTGCTGTTCCAGTGCTGTACCAGCGCACGCACACACACAGACACACACACACACACACATATAAACACACACAGTCAAGAGCGATGTCATCAAATGATGGGCCGACAGCCGGTTCTGACCTTCCCTGCTGGCGTTGAGCAGCATGCGGGCACGTTCGTGATGTCCCAGAAGCCTTTGCTGCGTGTTCTCCACCCATTGGTCCAGACCGGCAGGAAGTCTATGGAAGCCACCGCAACGCTGACTCTGATAGAAGTCCTGACGAGGCAGACAAAGATGAGAGTGTGCGTGTGTGCGTGCATGCGTGGTGAGGTGACTGCCATAACACTGACGCTGTTGTATTTACTTGAGAGTGTATGAGTGCAAGTTACCTTGGCAACCAGCAGAAGGGTCTGATGAGTCCTCTTTAGTATGGCGTTCACGATGGAGATGTAACAACTACATACACAAAAAGAAGTGAGGCAACTGATGACATCTTGTGACACATGTGATGTGATGTAATCTGGAGTAAATGTGGACTCACTCCGGATTGGGATCTGCTTCTGATTTGGCGCCAAAGATCTGGAGCCTTTTGTCAGTCCTGAACGTCCTAACAAAATACGCGCGCGCAGTCAACGGAAGAGAGAGCTACCGTATAATTGTATCGCGTGCAATACTTGAGGATATCTGCAAACCGCTATTTTCCACACATTTTCTCGGTTGGGTATTTTGCACATCATGCAAAATGTTGTCCTCATCCACACACACACACGCACACACACGAACCTTGCAACACCAGCAGATTCACTGCGTCTTGGCGATTGGTGCCGCTGGGTGGAACTTCGACCTACACACAAAACAGACAAAACCACAGCCGTGTCCTGATACCAGGCACTGAGATGGTTTGGCCTTATTTCAAGGTATCGAATACTCATGAGGGCCGCCAATACCGGTCACTGGCATGTCCATCTGCTCACATGCTCACTAAGATGCCGTTTTTGAAAGTATATGCATGTTTGTATGGATTTCATCATGCTCAGGTTTCTACAAACACGATATGTTTATTTGCCATCTGCCGTTTTTCAGATTTAAATTCCATCCATGTTCATCTGCTCGTACTCCCAATTAAGATGAAAGCATCTAAGTTGACATCATACTTGGATTCCATGATTTGCTAACTCAATTTGGATGGTATGATGATGACTTTTCACATGACGCAAATTTTATGCACCAAAAGTTCCAGTGGTATCGTTTACTTGGTATCGGTGAGTACTCAAGAGTATCGTTTTGAAAAAAAAAAAAAAAAAGGCATTAGTAAACCACACACACACACACACACACACACACACACACACACACACACACACACACACACACACACACACACTATCGTGAACCTGCACTGAAAACCATGGACCGGGTTTTCAAGATGGCAGCCAATATGCAACAGTCGATAGGGAGGAGTCAGTACCTTCACAGAACCTGGTGGACATAATGGAGAGGTCAGAGTGGAGATTCCACACATGCGCGCACACACACACACACACACACACACACACAAACACACACACCTGTTGAGCGACTTGACCACGCCCACTATGGGATCTTCCATGATGTTCCCTCCTGAGCGGCAGGGTTGCAGGAGGGCAGGAGGCGGGGCCGACCACACCTGCTTTCTGGATTTGGACACAGTGGGAGGAGCCACGCTCTCCTCATCCAAGTATTGTCTCCGTCTCTTCAGGTCCTCGCTGATGGCGGCCAACAAGGTGAAGACCTGATCCACGCTCACCTGCACACGCACACGTGCATACATATGCATTCAAAATGAACACACACGCATGAGAGCAATGACAGCAGAGGATAAAACAGCGATTGGGCAAAGGAACTTGCGGTTGTACCCGGTCTTCTTCCAGAGTTTTCCGGAGTTGCTCCATGCGAGCGCTGATGACTGCCTCCTGCTGATTGCTGCTCGCCGCCTGAGCACACACGTGCGTACACACACAGGCTCAACTCAAGCCAACCGAAAGTCCGCGATGCTGGAATAGGAGCGCTACCTCGGCTTTGACTTCCACTTGAGTGCTGCTGAGTATCCTCTCGATCAACTCGATGAACTTGACCTCGGCCTGCAGCACGCACAGCTTCTCCTCCAGACGCCCCGACGCCGCCTTCACCTGATCAAAAACATAAACGGCATCTTCAGGCAGCCGGGTAATCTTAAAACGCCAAATGTGCCCCGTGTTTATGCCACCAAAAATCTAAACACGCCTGGGGACGGCTGAAGCCATCTGACTCCGCCCACCGTGACGAGAACCCAACGAAGCGCCAGACTGACAGTGTGTGTGTGTGTGTGTGTGTGTGTGTGTGTGTGTGTGTGTGTGTGTGTGTGTGCGCGCGAGACCTGCTGTAAAGTCTTGGTCTGCAGGTTGTGCAGGTCCGTGTAGACGCTCTCTTCAGTGACGCTGATGCGTTTGCTCTCCTCCTTCAGACGTCTCTGGAAGATTTTCACCTCCTGCCGCGTGTAGTCGCCTCCTTCGCTGAACAGCCTACACCGGACAGACACGTGGACGAGGCCATAAACACGGCAGACAGGTGACGCCAATGTCAATCACGCGCCAGTCATCTGTCTCATAACGGGCGGGTGAACGGCATTGAAAGTCGTGTGATGTGAGGAAAATCACACGAGGCGAATGTGGAAGACACGGGAAAAGTGAATCCAGGGAAAGAATCGCAAGACATGAATGTCATGAAGATCAACATGCCAAAGTCATGTGACAGAAACGTGAATCGCGTGATTAATGATGAGACACGTAGGTCACATGGCTTTTACCCGTCTCATGAGATTCTCATTTCTGCCACGTGACGTTCACACGTTTGATGAGACGTGCTCGTCACGTGGCAGTCATGCGACACATGACAATCCTTGTTCCATGCTTCACGGGACAAGCGATCGTAAGCCAGGCTGACACGTGACAACGATGGGACATGAAGAAGTCAAAATGACAATGACAGTGGGCACCTGAAAGACTTGAGGAGGCGCGCCGTTCGATTTCGGAGCTCGTCCATCTGCAGCTGAAGCGTCGCCCGGAAGGACGAGTGCGAGCGCTGGGTGTGTTTGATGTGCTCGTCCAGACGGTCCTGCAGGGTGGCGCTAAGGGCCTCCAGACTGACATGCACACGGGAAGTGAAACACAGACACACACACACACACTCGCAGGAAACGAGAGTTTCCTTCCCCAGGTTTACCGTTGGCTGCCGTCCGTTTTGAGGACGCTGTCTTCCATCTCGCCCAGCGTTGCGGTCAGCCGCCGATTCTTCTCGTAGGTGGACGTCTGCAGCTCCTGCAGCGCCGCCGTGCACGATGCCAGCACGTCTGACACTTGCTGGCAGTGAGCGTCCACTCGCTGCTTGTGCAGCTGCAACTCGGCTACGCACGCGCACACACACGCATATATTGGGTTGAATTCCCTGGTCAACATTCAATTTATGTTCATCAACGTGCTCACGTTATACGAATAATAAGTCAAGCAGATAATCATAAGGATCGGTCTTCCGGCTAAGTGACTTGCTTTTAAGCAATTTATGTTCATCAACGTGCTCACGTTGTACGAATAATAGTCAACCAGATAATCACAAGGATCGGTCTTCCGGCTAAGTGACTTGCTTTTAATACTTGTCAATATAGTTTTGATGCTGAGTGATATGCTAATCATGCTCGTCATGTTAGGCAACATGTTAATGATGCTAAACATGCTAGCCAACGTGCGAAAACTCATGTTATCGCGAGTGTGTTAACGTGTCTGTAAACGCATGAAAGTGTTGCAGCATCAACGCTAGGGAACACGCAAATGATGCGTGTGTGTGCCCGTGCGTACCCATGCGCGGCATGTAGATGCACGTCTTGACATGGAGCGGATCAAGAGGTTGCATTTGCAGCTCGTGGTAGGCGCGCACCGCCTCCTTCCTGCCCGTCACCGTGGCGATGGCCGACGTCAGGACGTCCTGAAAACGCTGCTCCACGTAATCCAGGAACCAAATGCGCATCCTGCCCACACGTATAAACACACACCCGTTGTCCATCTTGCTGATGTGAAAATGAAAGCACTGGTTAGCATGGCACGCTAAAGGCTAACACCTGTTGAGCGCGTGCATGAGAAGCTCGACAGGAAACGCGCTGAGGTGTGTTTCCTGTTGCTTGCTCATGTTGCCTGGCAGGTCAGAGGCAGGGCACCTGAAGGCGGGGCCAGAGTAGGACACGCCCCTCGACGACGTCAAGTTGACCTTGCTGCTGAGGTCATAGAGCTCGAGAAGAGACGACTCAGCCTGAACAAGTGTAGGAACGCGCGCACGCGCACACGTTATTCTAGCCTCTTTCCCGCCAGCCAATCACAGGCTGACCTAACCTCAGCGAGAGAATCAGAAGAATCCTCAGGTGCCGCATCATCCGGACAGCTGATTGGCGGTTCCTCTGTTTTCCCCTCCTCTTCACTACTCTCTACACACACACACACACACACACACACACACACACACACGCACACAAAGTGCGCACACACAACATTTTAGAGCACATCTGACATGACGACATCATCATCATCATCATCATCATCATGATGGAGACTGACCGACCTTGGCTGCCGCTGGTGATGACGTCATCAACTGCCGGCAGCTTCTTCAGGTCTTCTTCGCTCTGCGAGGGAAAAGTCACAGTGACATCATCACCATCATGGGACACACGTGCCCTCGGGTGCACGTGTGTCTGTGTGTGTGCGCCACGGTCACAGGAGTGAAGGCGTTGCCGAGGTGGAAAAAGTTGCTGAGGAGTCGGCTGAACTCCAGTAGCTCGTCCACGAAGGTGCGAGGGAGGCGGTCCAACACGGCGCACTGGTCCGTCACGCACTCGCCGCAGCTGCACACGCACGCAACACGTCTCACACACACACACACACACACACACACACACACACACACACACACACATGACAAAGCTGGCAATTATTTGACACGTGCGAGGCGTGAAACGTGAAAGTCATTCGACAGACATGTAACAACTGTAAAGGACAGGAAGTCATACATGTCATGTGACATCGGACTGACACGTCTGAGATGACAGACAAGTGGCACCTCCGTCGCATGAGATAAACAAGGTGGCACGTGGCCGACACAAACCAATCGGCACACTTTAGTCAGTTAGCATTAGCATTTGCTAGCAAGCAACACTTGTCTGTCAAGTCACATCGATGTCTGCCGTGCGACAGACGCATGAGCAATGTGACCGTCACGGGCTATCCCGTTAGCCTTAGCACGAGCTGACCTGTTCCTCATGTCACGCAGGTAGACGACGGTTTGCTCCAGCGACAACTTCAACGCCACCTCGCTGCTCTCCTGGCGAAGTGCGATCAGTAGCTCGTCCAGGAACACCTTCTTCCTCTTTTCGGGTCATCATGGTCACAGTCACCGTCACGGTCGCCATCACGGTCACGGTCATCATCGCGCTCACCTGGACGTGTTGCTCTTGCGCCAGCCGCAGCTCGTCCAAGCGCCGCTGAACTTGCTCCTCTCGGCCTAGCAGGATCCCGCCGTGCTTCTCCCACAGCGACGCCAGCGCACGCATGACCACGAACACGCGGCGGCTGAGACGCGCCGACGCACGGTACAGGCTGTCCGAACACGTCTGCCGCAAACGACGTGTAAATGTCATACGGGGCACTCGTGGCAGTTAGGTGGCAAAAATGGAACAAACCGAAGGGACATGCGTGTTACAGTCACGTGTCAAGACAGCTGACGCATGACGGGAAGTGACAGACAGGTGAGAGACGTGAGTGGAGTGAAATGTGTCTGCCAGGTGACAAATGCGATATGTGTCAGATGAGTGACATGTGAATCAAGTTCGATATATCAGACAGGTGACATAGATGACAGTCAAGTGGCGTGAAGACTGACGTCGATGGCGGCCAGCTGCATTTCGTCCTGTCGCTGGTGTTGTCCAATGAGAGAGATGAGTTGGGACTTGACGATGTCGCTCACCTCCTCCTCCGGCAGCCCCAGCGCGGACAGCGTCTCCTGCGGGACAAATCGCGCAGGGCGTCAACAAAAGCTCGGTTTAGCGCGGCGTGGCGGCGTACGCGAGGAGCTGACCTGGTAACTCTGCACTTGCGACACGCGGTCCTGCCACATCAGCTCGTAACGACAACGCAGCTGATGAAGGAAGTCGGCGTGACACATGTCTGACGGACAGACGCGTGCGCTTAAACACCTCGCCTGTGCGCGTCGCACATTAAACACGCATGCGCAGTGGGCGGAGGAGTTACCGATCTGTTGATTGACGGCCGTCAACTCCGTGAACCAATCGGAGACCAGAGTTGTGGAGAGGGAGGGCGGGATCAAGGAGCTGGAAGAGACACGCGATTGGACGCCCACCTCAAAAGGGTCGGCCATTTTGTTACCTGAGGCTGGTGACAATGTCGCAGCGCCGCTGGGTCAAACGCCGCACGCTCTGGTCCACCTCCTGGAACGTCAGCTCATCCGACAGGAGACGCCACACGTCCACGCTCGCCACCGACAACCTGCCACCGGGACATGTTACCTGACGCCAAACACGCCACGCTATCTGACACAAAACACGGATTGGACAGACCACGTGGCTGATTGAACAGTGCCTCTGCCTAGGCTCCGCCCACCTGAACTCCTGGACCACGTGGCTGGCCTGACTCCGCCTCCACAGGCTGACAGACTCCTCCCACTGCAAGCGCAGAAGCGCCTCCTGCTGGAGAGCCTCCTCGTGCAGCAGTAGCAGGAGGCGCGCCGCAGCGCGGCGGTTAGCCAGCAGGCACTGATTGAGCATCTGACACACACACACACACACACACACACACACACACACACACACACAGACAAACACACACGGGGTCAGGATGGGGTCAAAGTTCAGATGTGAGAGGTCAGTCCGTGCCTTACCGTGGCCTGGCTGTGAATGTGCATGTGTGTGTTTGTGCAAGGCAGGAAGTTGATCTTCTCCAGCAGGTGGCAGTACCTCCTTAGTACTGGTCTGATCTACACACAAACATGACAACACACACACACACACACACACACACACACACACACACACACACACACACACACACACACACACACACACACAAAACAGGCACACAAACACACAAATTGAAAGCAGCATTGGTCACCATGGAAACCACATTAGCGGCCCTGTGTCGAGAGGAGTAAGAGACATCATCACCTTGTTGACTCTCAGTCGCTCACATTCACTAACTTGAAGTTCAAAGGTCAACACGCTGGACTTTTTCTCCTTCATGCGAGCCTCTACTGAGCTCCACACGCACAATACTTCCTGTGTGCGGGCACACACACACACACACACACACACACACACACACACACACACACACACACACACACACACACACACAAACGCAGTGCACATGTATTACGTTCCATCGAGTAGTGCGGATGTGGTGCAGATGTTGGTGATGGGTACTGGCACGACACTTTGTTGCCACCAAGTTTTGTAGTTGCTGTGTCGCAGTGGTACAGTAGTAGTTTAGATGTTGTGCGGAGAGGTTTTCTCACAATTGTATTTATGTTGTGCGTAGGTGGTGTGGACGCTGTTGGGGTTGTGTAGTTTTGTTGTGAAGAGGTTGGATAAAGAATGTGTGGAGGTTGGTTCGAAGATGTACAGCGGTTGTGCAGATGCTGTGTGAATGTTGTGGATGTGTAGACAGATTGTGTTGTTGTGTACCTGTAAACTGCGTTGTTGCACGTGCGTCATGTCGCGCGCCAGCTCGTGCAAAGAGGCATCGAGTTGTTGCAGTTTGGTCTTCAGTTGCACGCTGTGTGTCCTTACTTGCGCCTCACACACCTACACACACATGCGCGCCATTTATTTATTTGTGTGTATGTGTGGAGGGGGGGGGCATTACCTGCGCGAGCTGGGTGAGTTGCGCGTGCACGTGGCGCACGGCTTCCTGGTGTTGGATTTTCTTGTTTTGGTAGACGCGCTGCAGGATGTCGCACGACTCGTGACGGGCCTCTGAACACAGCACACATTTCATTGGTCGGTGTCAGCATGTCACGTGGATGATGTCATACTGACCCACGGTGTCCGGAAGCCTGACCACCTCCTCCGCATCTGCATCACCTTCGCCGTCATCATCTTCGCCGACATCGTCACCCTCGGCGAGGGAATGCTCCCTGGTCAAACATGTCGTCATCGGCAGCGATTTGCGTTTGTGTACGCGTTTCAGTGTCAATGTGTACTGTATTTAGTGCGCGGGTGTCTGTGTATATATACGTGTGTGTTTGTGTGTATGCGTGTACCTGGTTTTGGCGCCGCATGGTGCGTCACAGTCGGCAGCACGCACATATGTTGTTGCTGTGTGTTTGCGTGCAGCCAACAAACTTCTGGACAGTCGAACCTTCAAGCACGCAAGCACATCATGTTTTATTATTGTCGTGGTTATCATTAGCAATATTAGCATTAGCACGTGGTCCAAGTATCGTCATATTTAAACTCTCACAAATGAGAAGTGCATGCATTTGATACCTGCAATGTATTTATTATGAGCGATTTTAACATTAGCAGGTGCTTGAGCACCTTCAAAATCATTAAATACTCTAAAAATGTTGACAACGAATTTAAAGTGAAGTTATTTATATAACTGTTAATCGCAGAAAAGTCTGAAAGGGCTTCACTTGCCCACAGTTGACAAATATAGGGGGCAAAAATTAAAAAATATATATAAAATAAAAAGATTTTGTGTTTTTATCATCAATATCATCATTATTAGCAATATTATTAATAATGTGTTTTCACCTTCAATTGTATTGTATATTATTGTATTTTAACACTTTCCAATGTCGTCACAAATCACTTGATATTGCAACATTAGCATGAATTTGATCATCACAACAGCTTTAGAACGCAATCATTAGCAATATTAGCTTTGGCGTCTGTTCAGGTATTTTCACTTTTTGTACACTCTTGAAAGTGCTTAACAATGACTTATTATTAGCAAAATTATCATTTATTTTTTCTTATTATTATCATCAACAATATTAACATTAGCGTGTTTTTTTTTAAATCATCTTTTAACACTGTTCAAAGTGCCCAGAAATTATTTAGTGTCATTTGCAACATTAGCATTAGCATGCGTTTGATCATTAGATTTGCGTTGGCATTTGTTGGCCTACGTTTGTCGTCGTCAAACAGGAAATTTCTACGATGTTGATGGCTAATGAGCAATATTATTATTTGCATGTATTTATGTAGTATCAAAAGGCTCACTGTATGATGTTATGGTTTGGATGACCAGCGTTAGCATTTGCATGAGTTGGACGCACCTGATCTTCAAAGAGCTGCTGGTAAACTTCGCCAGTCGGAACCACGCGGGTCTCCGACATGCTAACGCTAGCCCGCTGCAAACGCTGGCGCTGGACTGATGTCATCTTTTACACCGAAAAAGACCGCAAACCTTTAGTTTTTTGTTACCAACTAAAATCGAAGCAAAACTAGCTACATGAACGACGTCACACACTCGCCCACGTGTGCGTTTGTTTTTACTGTCTCCATGGAAATGACAAGACACGTGTTTGACCAAAAGAGGGCGCACGCGCATAGGGACGCGCGCGTGTCTGCTGGTGGCCACGGCGACGTCATGAAGGCGTGACGTCACTGCGACAGATGTCACAGAATGCGCTAGTCGATTTGAAAATGGTGAAACGGGGATTAAATTAGTTTTTGGAAGACTTTATTAGGAGTCTTCTGGAGTCGTAAAGTATAGCCAAAAGTCGGTTACACGGCAGACATTTGTCGTCGCCGTTGCTCGCTACCTCACTTGTGCTCGTAAAATAAATGCATAACTTTCAAAATAAAAGTATATGGTCTCTGTGAGGGGTAGTCAGAGACTGCAGGTGGGCTGTACTTTTCCTGTGTCTACATGACAAGGTGGCACCTGTCAAATATCTTGAAATTCGATTTCTAAGCCAATTGAAAGAAGTAGACAATGAAAATTTGCCAGTTTAGAAATACATCTCAGAAAAAAAAATCGATCATCCTCTGGACTGGAAAATATAGGAAGCAATGAAGTTGTGAAGAATGAGGAAGTAGATATTCCAAATTCAATCCATTGAGATCAGGGAGCAAGAGAATCGGCAATGATACTGTTAAAAAAAAAAAAATCTCGCTTTCAAAATAAAAGTCCCCTTTGTTGACTGATTAACCAAACATATGTAAACTTAATTTGCCTGCAGTCAGAAACGGTCATTTGGACACTAACATGATTTTTTTACAGTCACAAACTTTTATTTTGACATGAACATGATTGTTTACAGTCAGAAACTTTGATTTTTCACATGAACATAATTGATTTACAGTTACTTTTGCACACTTTTCAAGACAGGAAGTAGAAAAAAAACTCACCAAAGTTTACCTCTGCCTCTTTCACAGCATATGACATCACGCAAAGACGGCACATAGCATTAGCGTGTTAGTGCTAACATTTGCTGCAGGTTGCTCTTCTCGGTTCATGTCAATCGCGGTGACGCCACTGAGCTAAAGGCTAATGCGTTGCTACATTAATTAGTATAGACAAAATAAATGCGCTTAGAAAAAATGTTAGCAAGCACAGGTTAGCAAGATGGGAAAGACATCTTTTTACAAGGTGGAAAACACGCTAACATGAGGAGCCAATGCATCATCACATGAATACATCTTGCAAATCGGTCAAATTTCCCATAAATGCTTTCGTGTTTTCAATTTGAAAAGGCGACAAGAGAGCCCTCATAACTGATGGACCTGGTAGAGCAGGTCCAAAGTTGGTTCTTGTCTAAGGACTAGGGATGCATCGATGCCACTTTTTTTTAGATCAAGTGTGAGTAAAGTACTATGCTTTAGAGTGCCTTGTTGTCACCGAGTGAAAAAGAGGGATATAGTCCAGTCACTGTGGGCTTTAAGCGGATATATTTTGGGAACTCAAATATGCCTCGAGGCAAAGTAGCATTCATTTTTATTTCCAGGTTGTTATAGTAATATTTGATTGACAGTTGACTAGGAGGTTGTTTTGGCTCTCATATTGTTTGAGAGCGGGGAGAATGGCTCCCTTTTCCACTGCTTCAAAACTCTTATTTTTAGCCACCTTTTTTTCAAAGGATTTGAATTTGGCAGGGTTGTTAACAGTCTTCTCTGTGGCGAGAATGATTTTTTTTCCTGTTTGGCACTTTTTCGAGCTGGAGTTATTTTTGCAATTGGGCGAAAATTCAAGTTACGTAGCCTTCTATTTTTTTCATTCAAGTCTGAATGCTATTTTTAATCACCGGTCTGTGCCGGGGACTTACATCAAGCATGCAACATGATTAGCCTTTGGCAAAATTGTTTCCTGTTACATGCAGTTGTTCTTGAGACAGAACAATCACAGTAGCAGGTTCATTTCATGTGAAAATTGTCAAGTTGAATACTTGTCTTTCCATTTTTGTTCCACAAAAGAGAATGTTGAATATTGTTCAGATATATGAAGCACTTTATCAAAAGGCTTTGATTACATTGATGTTTCAATGCATAAAAAAAAAAGCATCATATTCTGACAATAAGTTAGCGTGTCGAAAGAGAACTCATTTGGTCTTATATCAACGCTGTCTTTTTATATTTTGGAATCGGTAAAGATGAGTCGGTTTTAAAATAAAATTGAAAAAATATTCTACAGTTTAATTGGGGTTACCTTTAATTCGGAAAGGCGTATTTACAAAAAAGTGTGAAAAAATCGTATTGAAATTGTCTTTATCGCATTGTTCAAAAAACACGATCTATCCCTTTGTGCGGAATCGTTCGGCCCTATAAGGACACGTGTCGTATCTGTCAAAAAAACGCATTGTCACGCCCCAAATGTTCTGCTGTTCTCAATATTGATTCGCTTGCGCTGACCTTGGCCACCGGGGGCTGTGTGGAACACTCATGCAGATGACACGTGAGCATTGGATGAAAAGACACAAGGAAGAATGTAAACGCGCAGCTACAGTATTCTAGCTTGTTTTTCGCAGAGTAGGAAAAAAAATGTGCCTGCGAGTATTGTGATGCAAATTATCTTTTCTGTATATCGTTAGCGTAATAACATGATTGCAAAAACAAGTCATCACGATATAAAAAATGCAAATGTTTAAAAAAAAAAAAAAGAAACTAAACAGTTTTTGGCGGGAAAGGAGTTTGTGTGGTTAGATTCTCAGTCCTGGAGATCAAAGATTAAATTGATGTAAGTGAATTTGTCCTGTATTCAATTATTTTTCTAAAATGTGACTTGGGCAATTATGCCATTAGGCTCACAGTACGTTGCTGCACTGATGTGTTAAAATATTTATCATTTGAATGTTTATACAGCGATAGAGTTCTGCCCATTTTTTGTTGACCAAAACAGGGTCTCAAGTGTTTGTTTGCTTAAATGGGCAACGCGTGTCTTTCCCTTGATTGTGTTTTGCCTTATATTTAACTTTAACTGGAGTGTCCGTAAGCCTCTTATTCGAGGCTAGTATGGAAGGATTTCCACAAGTTCAAGGGCATCGGTGAATCCCTATAAAGGATAAAAGAGCTTGACTTTCAATTATTTTCACAAGAAAAGTTCAATTAAACTGCTGAGCTAGCATTAGGAGGAAATGGGACATTAAGTTAGGTGGGGAAAAAAAAGGGCAAAAGTCTTGACGCCCGCGTGAAGTCGACATAACCATCAATGAAAGAAGTGCATTGAGACATCATTTTGCCTTGAAAACCTTTGATGACATCACTATAAATTTGCCGTATGCTTTGTTAGCACAATTAGCATCAGAAAAAAAAAAATCAGTATTTCATTCTCACATTGGTCAACAAAAGTGCATTGTCTGAATAACAATTTAACAACATTAGCCACCCAGGGCATGTGGGCTAATATTTGCTCACGTAGCACTAGCGAGCGTTTCGTACGACCAGCTAAACATGCTAACGTGTTGTGCTAAGTGAAAATGCTACACGTGGCAGACCAAGAAACGCAAACAAAAATTTCACAACGTTACTGGCTCAAGTTGAAAAACTCGATTAGCGTCCGTCCATATTCGATTCTCACGAAAGGTCTGGTACGCACGCAAGGATTTGTGACAGAGGCCACACGTGAAGATGAAAAATCAGCGTGAAACAGCTTAAGAAGAAGAATAATAAGAATAAGAAAACATTTAATCGTCTCACAATGGAGAAATTGCCAATTTACAGCAGCAAAGTTATGAAAGGAAGAAAGTAGAATTTCAAAAAATATAGAAGCTGCTGTAAAGGCAATTTTGCACTGTATCTTGTGTGCTGAGATCATCTCCACAGCGAGGAAATCTGGCGTGTTTTGGTTTTCTTTACGGTCATTTGCTTGTTTGTCATTGCGATTATGTTTTGAAAAAAAGATGGATTCCCATCATTGCTTCGTTTTGTGGCTGCTTTGCCCCGTGCTGAACTTTTATTGACCTTGTTGGTCGCCAGAAAGATGTTGCGTTCATTTGCCCCCAATTGTTATTTTCCTTTGAATGAGTATTTTTGTTGACTCATGAATTGTAGGATACTTTTCTGCAACAGAAAGGCAATCTTCATTTCATGTACAGGTATGTCAAAGACGAAAAAGGGCAAAGTCCAACCAGATTTGGTCGGAGGAGCTAATGAGTGTCATCAGCACTTGTGACTTGTCCAAAGAAAATTATTTGGGATGCAAAAAAGAGAAAAAAAAAAAAAAAAAGGGAAGGTAGTTCAACTTGAACTCACTTCAGACTATGAACAAAAAATTAGCTGCTGTTTGTCATCCTTGGTCGGAATGAAAACAGCTCTTAGTATCGTTACGTGTGTACCAGGGCTTTGTCAAAAAAAAAAAAAAAAGTGCTACGTCGCATCGAGTTTGTTAATAAAAGCTCACTTAGCTTAGCAATAGCTCAGCTAACAAGTTTGGACGAGGTGTCCAGGGGCCTCATGGAGAAAGACATGCGCGGTTTTTGTGCTGAAACAAGGCATGCGGCCAAATACAGAAAATCCACACAAAAAAAAAAAAACGACTGACTAAATCAACATCTTACTCCTCCTCTTCTCCCCCACATATCAATGAGCCTAAACAGGGTCTGCCGGTGGGAATTCCTCACTCTGCATCATCCGACAATCACATTATCAAGAGTCATGAGTCACAAATGAAAAAATTAGGATCTTGACCAAATGTGAGCTGGAGACGCCGGACAATAAAGCGGAGGCCCGAAAAGCAAATCTTTTTGGCATGCTGTCATCCGCGGTCAACAACGAGCGATGGTTCTGTGAATTGACGCAAAACTTTCAATCCATTCACCCAATTACAAATGGCCTCCAGTCTTCATCTTGCGTAGCTCTTACATGCACGTTGCTCTGTCAAGCAAACTTTGTCTTCTCATTAAAAATATCGCAACTTCAGTACACGAGGCCCCAAATCTCCGTCAGTATTCTGAGCGAAACATGCTATGTGAAAATGCTACGTGTGGCTAATTTCCTCACTGCTAAAAACAAAACAAAGCGGTGTGAAGCCAGTAAAAAGCAGCAAGCGTTTTTCACGTGTGCGAAACATTTGATGACACGTGAACTCTGTTGCTTTGTGTTGGCTGGCCGGTGGAGGTAGACAGAGTGACATCATAATACGAGTCTGATGACATCATCAATCCCAGCATGCCGTGGGAGTGTTAGGGGGCGGAGCCTCGGGGGCAGGCGGGCGGCCAGCGACGTAAAGCTGCCAGCAACTGGTGTTGAGCTTTTGCTATATTGCTCAGAATCAATAGAAATTATTTACAAACATCTTGCTGATGTCACATCAACACCGCACGACAGTGTACCCAGTGTGACCTACAAACCTCTCATTATTATTATTATTCATAAGGATTAGAACTTGTGTACGTTTTACGGTGTCCACTGACTCCGCCCGAAATGACCAGGAAACACTAGAACACTTACGCTAGCAAAATAAAATGACTTACTGGTATGTGCTCGCGTGTTTTGTGTACGTGTGTGTTGGGGTTTTGTGTGCGGCGGTGGGCGTGGCCGCAGCGTTCAGACCACGGTGCTGACGGAGGGGTCCGATAAGTTGATCTGACCGGTGATGTCAGTCGGGTACGGCTACACAAGGAGGAAGAACAGGCACACACATGTTAGCGTGTCATCATCACGGTCATGGTCGCCGGTTGTCAGGTGGCGGCGGCGGTCACCTGCAGGTTCTTCCTCCAGACATTGACGGCTGCGAACGCCAACTGCATCTGCTTCCTGCGGGCGTCCTTGTGGCGCTTGTAGGCGATCTCGATGAAGATGAGGAAGATGCCCGCCACGAGGCCTCCCGGCACGCCGTTCTCGTGGGAACTGAGCCGCAGAGCCGGTTGGTTAGTTTGCGGGAACGGTGGCAGCGGAGGTCGCCGGCTCACCTGAGGATGGCGAGTGACACGTTCTGCTTCCAGGGGCTGTCCTTCCTCATCCCGATGCCGAAGCCCGAGCGGAAGAAAAGTTCCCCGGTGGTCACTAGGTCGCATTTCTGCGAGGCCTCGAACTCCAGCACGGCGCTGTCCCAGATGAAGGCGTGCAGCTTGCTAGCGGGGGCACAAGCGAGAACACTTCTTATTCAACCTTAGCTTAACCGGCTAACACGCAAAAGGATTAAAAAAAAAAAAATTAGTTCGTGCTGTCAAGCGATTAAAATATTTAATCGCGATCAAATTTATAATTTCATAGTTAACTCAGAATTAGCTGTAATTAATCACAGATTTTTTTATCTATTCTAAATTTCCTTTGATTTTTTTTTCTCCTATTTTTCCCATTTTAATGCTCTCATCAACATGAAATCGTGTTATTTATATTTACTGAAACAACAATTTCAATTTTCAATTTTAGATGAACATTTTTCAATTGGAGCAGTTATTCAAACTTGGAGCACATTTTATTATTTTAGAGCAACGTAACATCCGCTGTGACGTGGTGCCGCATTAATCTCGCATTAAAAAAATGAACCGATTGTTTTAAATTAATGCCGATAATAAATGGTTTTAAATGGATGCAGGAGGAGACGTCGAGTTCTCACTTGTCTCTGACAGCCTGGATGGCCTCGGCGGCGCTCTCGTAGTTGTGCTTCTCCATGTGCCGGTACATGGTGCTCAACTCCACTTGACGCCGGAAGTAAATGTCCACTGAACTCTGCTTCACCGTCGCGTAGATGAACTTGTCCGACGGGTTTCTCAGCTGACGGACGGACGCAGGAGAAATTCAGCACGCCGATGGCAGACACGCGTGCAAAAACAAGCCAAACAGACAGAAAACATGCAAACACGCAGACAATAGCCGTGGAACGTGATCACATGGAAGAACGCTCGCACACAAATTACAACGTGAACAAAACACTCAAACCAGATGCAGTGTGCATGCAAAGGCCACATTACCACAACGGACAAACACGGCCAAACCGCGGGGAATACACAGCAAGGCGCAAAAAGCCTTCAGACGTGAAACAGCCGCAGTTGAAAAATTGAAAGTTACCCTGGCGTGACCATGACGGGGGGACATGATGATGAACATGGGATGGACGATGACGTGGAGGAGGACGTGATGGTGATGATGAAGGCCCGGTGGCGTGACGACTGCGACGACGTCACGAGGGCAGGAACGAGCGGACGACATCGGGAAAGGAGAGTGACGACGACGATGGCGACGCCTTGGGTGTTCATCTGCGCGCGCGTTTGTGAAGAAACGGCGGACATGGCGACGCGGCGGCGGCCGTGCGGGCGCTGACCCTGGGGTCGTTGATGCCAGTGATGCGCTCCTCAGGCCGGTCCAGCACCAGGAAGGCGGCCAGGTTGGCCGTGTACGATGCCACGATGATCATGGCGAAGCCCGCCCACACCATTCCCAGAATCCTTGCCGAAAAACTCCTCGGGGCTCCTGAGGTGGAGGGGGCGGGGCACAAGCTTCAGACACGCTTCCGACATGCTCGGGGACAACACGCCGGGCTTACCTTCTCCGATCCCGGAATTGAGGAGGACTCCCCAGGAGAACCACATAGCCGAGGACAAGGTGAGGGCGTCTTCTTCTTCTTCTTCACTGTTCACTTTGAACCTTCCGAATGGGCTGCACGCACACACGCGAACATGCACACGTTACTAGCCAACATTTCATATAGCGGCACGCAGCAGAGACTACAACTGACATTTGACACGGGACGCACCACGATGTTGGGGGTGTTCCTACCTGAAACGGTCTAATAGGTAGAGCATCACTGCCACCACGTGGACCGACAGGCCGACAAGGAGCCACAAGGTGCTCTGGAAAGGTTGCATGAACGAGTCCAGTGTGCTGCGAGGGATTTCCTGCACTCACGCAATGCGCAGCAAACTGTCCCTAATCGACTTCTCATTCTCACTGCGGCGCTCGCGGCCGCTGGCGAGAAGGCTTCCTACCTTCTTGACGAGGATGGTGAGTCCCTGGTACTTGAAAGGCTTGGAGAACTCGATGTACTGCGCGCGCTCATTGTTGATGGTGAGGGGGGCCACGATCATGTCGGCCAGACCCCCCAGGAGCTCGCCCATCATGCCGTTCCACTCCTTCTTGTTGCTGTTGTTCACCTGCAACCGCGTGGGACGGCAACACACGCTTCGTAACCGCGCCGAGCCACAGATGCAAAGTCAAGGCGCAGCCCGGGTCGTGCTTGGAGAGGACAGATGCCCCGCCTCCTTTGCTGCTTGCAAATGCCCATTTTCAAGCTATTCTAGCGGCTCATTAATATTCATTAATATTCAACATGCAAAAAAAAAGCTTTGCCCTGATTGGATGGCTGTTCTCCTGAATATGAATGTGGAAAACAGCCGCCCTGAATGGCAAGGCAGCCATGTGGCAAGCTGTCGTCATGACGACAAAGCCAACGGTGTGACAAGGTGTTGTCACGGCACCAAGGAAACGATGTGACACAGTGTTGCCGTGGCAACAACAACAATTACACTACAATGTGTCGCCAAGGCAACAAGGCAATGTGCTGCTTTAACAACAAAGATACGCCTGTGAGACGGTGTTGTTATGGCAACAAAGACCTCTGATACATTCAATCAGCAGCTCACAAACACACACGCGCGCACACACATACACACGCTCACACAAACATGCGCGCAAGAAAATCATGGATCTTGTATAAACATGTATAATACATGTTGGCATGCATTATGTTTGTAAACATGTATAATGCATGTATATCAATGATACATGTACATAGGAGACGCTGTTAGTTGATGGATGATGCGGGATGTGTACCTGAAATATGGATGTTTATGTAAAAGCGTATACGTGCCCGTATACGTTATTTGCATGTGCATGGTGGAGCCGATTCTTACCCTCTCTTGTGTTCCAAACTTCCCGTCGGCCACCAAGTGAACCTCATAAGTGAAGTTCATGCTCATGGCCAACTTGATGAGGAGGTCGATGCAGAAGCCATAACAACACTGAGGAACCGTCGGCTGACCTGAAACACACACAAAATGCGCTGTGTGAACACATCATACACGGGGACCTTTTTTGTGTGTGTGTGTGTGTGTGTGTGTGTCTGTGTGTGTGTGAGCGAGAGAGAGAAACCTGGGATGGTTCCGTTGGGTCCAGTGCAGATAACCTTCTTGATGAGGACTCCGTTGACCGTGTATTCCTCCTTACACGTTCCGTCCGCTTTTGTGGGCTTCACATACACAAACGGCTCCTGGTGAATGGTCACGATCTGCACGCACACGCAAATTAGCATATATTAGCACATTACAACATTCGTGTATTCACCCATTAGCACATTGCTGCATTATAAAATTTGCATATTAAGACATTAGCACGCGTACGTTAAGAGCATTGGTCCGTTCACATATTAGCATGTTTGCATATTAGCACACGTTTGAACAAATTTGCACATTGAAACAATCCGTTTGGATACTAGCATGTTGGCACATGAATACTTTAGCACATTAGCCTCCCATTACATTTGCAAATGAGCACATAAGCACATTATCATGTTAGCACATTGAAACATTAGCCCATGAGCATGTTACCACATTGCCATCTTCGAACATTAGCATATTAATAAATGAGCATTTTGGCACGTTAGCTGTTTAGCAGACTTTGAGTTTGGTTGACATCTGGTAGCCGACTGGCTTTTCGGTTTCCCCGCCAGGCCAGATGATCTTCCTCTGCGGGTTGATCACCACCTGACACACACGTGCATGAACATACATGTGATCACGTCTTATCGCGTGTAATCATGTATGGGTGCGTGGATTGTCCCCCACCTGCGATCCGTTGAATATTCCGATCTGTACAATTCTTCCAGATTTCTGCTGGTAGTTGAGGATATTGTAAGTGGCGAAGCGCCGGTCGCCGTCGTCGTTGAACTCGATGCGACCGGTCAGGCCCTCGGCATACTTGGATGACATCAGCACCCTGACGACAAAATGTGGGTGGGTGGAGGTGGGGGGGGGGGGTGCAAATCCACGGGGGTTGACTGTATTATGTTTGAATACGGCAATGAAAGTGGCAAAATGAGTCAGCTGACGAACATTCGTCACACATTTGGCAATTTGGCAAGATGTCGGCATTTAAAAAAAACTTCGAAAGTGGCAAACTGTCAAAATTGACAATGACTCGCAACGACACGTGACAAACTGCTGACGTGATAAAACTTGGCGACACGTCGGTTTCTGATATTAGCTACATCTCATTCTTATTTTATTTTGTTCACACTCATTTTTTCAATTGTATTTTTTTGTTGTCGTTATTTCGTTTATTTTGGGTACCACAACCGTGGTGTGGACCCGTGTAGTGGTGCACCTTTTGAAGAGGGGTCCGGTCCTCCAGATGTTGGTGTTGCCCACACACCCGCGCGGAGGTTCCGTGATGTTCTCTTTGTCCAGAAGCTCCTGCAGGGACTGCGCCACGACTCCCACGGCGTCCATGATGTGAGCCGACTCGTTCTTACCGTTTATCAGCTGCAGACCCAGCAAGCCTAACCAACACACGCACACGCACACACACACACACACGGGTTACACACACACGTGCATGCACACACGAATACACGCACACAAACACACACACACACACACACACTCACACGCAGGCAGAGATCTAACGGTGTCCTCATAAGTTACACACACATGCCCGCACGCCCACACATGCTAATTACACTCATGTCCTTAATTACAGTTTCAGACACTCCAGGCACCAAAACGCATGCTGGGAGTTCACAGCCGCCTGTTAATTAAAAAGCTCCAAAACTGTTTTCACCAGTCACACAGGCGACTGCAAACTCCATTAGCGCCGTTCGCATTGCTTAATGAAATACCAGATGTTGAAACCGGCTCACACTGTTAGCGTCACACACGCCATTAGCATTGCCCGCCGTAAACTGTTGTTACCATTCCCCCAAAGAAAACACCTGTTAAAACTCGCTCACAATCAGACATATTCTCCAGTGTGCTTAAGTAACAAAGGCATGCTGATTATAAAAAAAAAAAAAAAAAAGAATGCTGTGCATTTTTGGGGGCCATGCAAATTTCCCATTGACTTTTTACCTCCAAAACTGGCTAATACTGTTTGCTAGCTTGATCACTGGAAAGACCACCGAAAAGTGGCTAACAGTATTAGCATAGTGCAAAAACAAAAACAAAAAAACACGGAAGACTATGTAGTTGTTTTGAAGTTTTCATTTCGGAAGGAAATGAAATGATTGGAATGCTAACTAGGCAGAGCTAAGCTAACTTGATTATGGTCCATGTTCTTCACCATGTGTCTGGTGAAGAAGGTCACGTGTGTCAAGAACACTGAAGGTCTCTGATCAAGGAATCGCCTCCAATCCGCATTTGATCACACTATCTTGTTGTGTGGCATCCACGTTGTGATTGGCAGGAGGTGAGCCCACCTCCTCAGGTCAGCATGTTGGATGGTCATGTGACCTCAGACAATAATCAGGAGACCTTTTTTTTTCAAAAAAAAAAAAAAGGTCCACTTGAGGAAGCTTGGAATGTGAAACGATGTGAAGCCAGGCCTTCCTTGTCAAGAAGCTTTCAGCACACGCCAACGGCTGACCCTCCTTCATACGTCGCATCTCGATGACACGTAGTGATGCGTGACATGACAAAGCATGACAACTCACGGACACGTGACAACTTGCTGACAAGAGTCGACACGTTGGCATGTGACGATTCACCACGTGAAAACGCGCGATAACTCGTTGACACGTGATGACTCGCAGGCACGTGCTAACATGTCGGAACGTAACGACACGTTGCCAAGTGACCACTCACCACGTGATAACGCGTGATAACTCGCTGACACGTGATGACTTGCACATGCTAACATGTCCGGACGTGACAACACGCTGCCAAATGACGACTCGACGTGTGAAAACGTGTGCTAACTCGTTGACGTGATGACTTGCAGGCACGCGATAGCATGTCGGAACGTGACGACACGTTGCCACGTGACGATTCACCACGTGAAAACACGTAATAATAACTCGTTCACACGTGGTGACCCGCGGGCACGTGACAACATGTTGATGTGATAACACGTGACAACTCATGTACACGGGACAACTTATTGTGTGACGACTCTTTGACACATGACGTGTTGACACATGACAACATGTTGACACGCGAAGGCCCTTCACATGGCAATCCGCGACAACTCATTGAGATATGATGACCATGCATCATTTTTGACTTGACCCAAATTGCTGACACGTGACAACTCCTTCATACGTGACAAGGAATTGAAACGTGACAATCTGCTAACACGCGAGTCAAACAGTCGTCACGTGATGACACATGAAACCTTGTTGACATGTGACAACACGTAAAAAAACGTATCATGTCGAAAAGTTGTCAAATGACGGCCCGCTGACACGTGACTTGTACACCTGACGAGTTGTCATGTGTGCCACCGAGTCCTCATATGATTAGTGGGTCATCGCTTGATGACGAGAGGACTTGTTGTCACACGTGATGACTTGTCACGTGATTGTCATGTGTCAATGAGTTGACGACAGGCTGACATGACACGTCAGGTGTACATCCTTGTCACGTGTTGTCATGTGTGAGTGAGTCGTCAACTCATGGACGTGTGGGTGTGCGTGTGCGTTACCAACTTGGGCCACGTCACAGTGGGCGTGGCCGGGGCTGACCAATGGCAGCGTGAGAAGCGTCGGCGTTGTCTTACCAGCGTTTGTTCAGACAATGACATCCCCACCATCAGTTACCGTGGCAACACAAGAAGTCTGCGCCCCCCAACCCCCACCAGCAAACATTATTACAGTGAACCCCCCCACGCAACTATCTAACAATCTATGCTAATTTGTAATTTGCCCATCTATGGTGTTAGCATTAAGCTAACGTTCACTAAACTGTATTTCGGCCCAACATTTTTAGTGTTAAAATTTTAAAAAAGGGTTAATTGTCTCTTTTTTGTGTCAGTTTTGGCGTAAACTTGAACTGAGAGTGACACAAGAACAGTTTGAAGCAAGCACGCTTCACCCCATAGAGTGGGAGTCAAGTAAAAATTGTTCTATCCAATAATATGCTCTCGAGCACCCCGTTGCTCTAAATATGGCATTGTGATGAATATTGCCTTTGTGAAATATGAATGAAGCAACAAAATGCAGACGTTTTGATCCAGCTCACGGGGCGGCCATTTTGCCACTTGCTGTCGACTGAAGATGACATCACAAGTTAAGGGTGGGCTTAGGTTACATGACCAAACCCAGAACATTTGCAGCCATCGTGCAGCCCTTCAATCCCAAAGCTTTGCTTATTACTCAAAGCGAAAAGAAACGACTGGTAACTCGACAAACCCAAAAATAAGGTCACTTATATGTCGAGACGCATGTGAGGGGGGTTAAATGATTTTTTCGATGCATTTTTGTCTGCATTGCAGATTTTCTCTTATCGCGGGGGTCTGCAGCGTATCCCACGCGACAAACGGCGGGGGGGGGGGGGGGTCACTGTATTCAAGCCCCGCCCTCGCCGGCGTAACATGACAAAAGGCAGACAGGCGGCGGTGAGGAGAAAGAAGCTAAAGAAGATGACACAAACAAAAAGTGTTAGAACAGTGAAAGGCACACGCACGCGCAACAGGATTGACGCGTTCAAACATGATTGGCATGTTTGAACCTTCAACCGGCAAAAAACATCAAAGCAGAGACCACGCAGCGCCAAAGAGAAGCTAATTAGTCATTAGCTTCCCGCATCACAGCTGCCATGTTACCATCCAAGTGGCGGTGAGGGGGTAACTCAGAGCAACTGTCTGCTAAACGCATTAGCAACAACAACTTTTCCTTGCGTCAGGTGACTCAAGATCAACGGCGGAATGAAGCTACATCATAGCCAAGCCGCTATCCACTTGTACTGAAGCTACATGCTAGCCCAGGCGCTATCCACTTGCTAATGAAGCTACACGCTACCCTAGCTGCAATCAACTTGCTTTTGAGGGTACATGCTAGCCTGGCTGCTATCCACTTGCTAAGGTGGCTATATTGTTAGCCTCGCCACAATCCACGACTAGACTCTGATTATGCAATAGTTTCGGTGTTCCTCAGTGTTGTCGTTTTACATCTTGCCACTATGCGCGTGGTCGTGGCTCATCGTTAGTGAACCATGACTTACAACGTGTCCTCGTTTTAGTCACCACTTGGGAATTTCTCCTAAGATCAAGTGCATGCGGTATGAGACTCAGTCAACAGTTCCCCTTCCCAAAACTTTTAGGTCAGGCCATTTTTTTCAAACCTAAATCTCCATTTTTACAACATTTTTCTAGGCTTGTGCTAAATTTGAAGTCAACGAGCGGACTTGCATGGGCTTCCAGTTTGCTGGGTGTCTTGTGATCTTACACTGACCTGCAGTCATATTGCACCAGAATCATCTTCAGAATGTACGTCTGATAACCTTGCTCTCGTGTAAAAATCAATTCATCTTTGTAATTTTTCCACACATACACACTGGATGCTGATCAGGAAGCTATTTAACAAACATTTACTGATGTAGCTGGATGTTAGCTGAGCAGCACTTCGGCATCCACTTGCTAATGTAGCTCGATGCTATCTCGGCAAGTATGCGTGGACGCGTACAGATAGAAAACAAGTTGAATGGAAGCAAAACAGAGACGGGAAGCGGAAGATAATTCCCACGTGCTCCATACCGTCCGGTGCCTCAGTCAAAGCTCTTCCGCTCATTTCTCTCTCCCCGACGATCCAGACGTAGCCGGAACCGGTCATGTTTAGATGACGGGCCGCCTTGTAAACGCCCGCCGCTTCGTCCTCGCTGCCGCACATGGACGCACAACACAAACACAGCAAACGGGACCCTTGTTAGCGTGGCAAGTTGCTATCTGGTAGTTAGCGAGCAGCTAGCTGCCTGTTCAGTTAGATGTCAACTGAAGATGGCCGTTCGCCCTCGTGCCAATGGTCCAGATACGGGAGGGCCTCGGCGACCAAGTCCAGTGATTCACAGACTTGGGTCAATTAGTGGAGCCCATAGTTCAAAATAAGCATGGTGAAGCTGCATTTAGCTGTTATGCTGTATGCAAATTGAATGAGACGGAAGTTCCACTAAATTATGTGACATGTCATGTGACACACTTCAAGCTAACTAGCAACTAGCTCCCTGTTAGCAAGCACTCAACATCATGTAACCGAAAAGCAGCTAGTAAGCCGTTAGCACGTTAGCAGTTACCGGTCAGCTCACTGACCTGGCAGAGAGGATGATGACGCGGGCCTCCAGGTCTTTTGCGTCCAGGAGCAGGGCTGTCAGGTTGGTGTCTGGACCAAACAGCAGAACCTTCTCGGCCTGAAGTCCACACGGAGACGTCACAACACATCATAGCACACGCTACGTTAGCACATTAGCCGCACCCTCCCCGACCATGCTCCCACTCTCCCCATAGTAATAATAATCAATTGTGCAAAGGTGAGGGGGGTTACTGGGGGGCATCCAATGGGGAGCGGGAAGTGGAAGTGAAAGCTGGTGGACATGCAAGGCTCCAACCAACCAATCAGGGGCGTGCATGTTAGCATGTTAGCGAGCGCAAATAAAACCAAAGACTCGAGAGGGGTTGGGGACTTGGGGGTGTTTGTAGAGAAGTGGGAGGTCCCGCCTGGTGGGTGTCGTCTGTCAGACCCCGCATGCATCCCTTACATGGGGTGGGAGAGTAGGTGGGTGGGGGGGAACGGGCGTGTCTCTCCTGCATTCCCAAAGTCATGACAAACCAAAAGAAAGATGGCTGCCTCCAGGATAAGGGCTATCTCTGGATTGGGTGGGCGGGGCTGTGGCCGGTGGACGAGATTGGCCGGTCGGACGGGCGGCGTGCAGCGTTTGGACCATGCAAGCGTTCTACCTTAGACAATCTTCTACCTTAGGCGTTCTCCGGAAGTCAAAGCCGTGTTGCTCCATGTTTTCATTGTTCCTGATTTTAGTCTGATGGCCGTGTGACAACAGAAAGAACGTCACACACACGCCCGCCGCAAAACACGCACGCAGCACAACAGGAATGAAACACACCTATACACCCAGACATTGACACACGCATAAATGCTGATACACATGGGCACACACACACGCGCGTGCGCGCACACACACACACATACACACACACACACACACACACACACACACACACACACACGCACGCACACACACACCTCACACATGAAACCTGCCGACATGACTGCACGCGCAGGTGTGATTTCATCAGCATGAGTTGGTATGCTTTCTAGCTTTCTTTCGGTTAGTTTGTTTTTTAGTGTTGATGGCTTGATTTTGTCAAATGATGACAACTTTGTGTGCGCAATGTGTGCTTTCATTTGTTTGATATGCAAATGAGCTGACAATGGGAGACAAATTTAGACCTCGAGTTATTTTTACAGGCGCAGAACAAAGAGGGTGAAACTCGCTGGGCCACAACGACACAAAAGCAACGAACATCAACTTTCTTTTGCCACAGAATGAAAGTGTTAGCTTAGCTTAGCAAAAACCTCAACTCGCTCACTTAAACGAAATTCGGCAAAATACGCAAAACCATCGGTAGTAGTGATGCTTAGTTAGTACAGCGGCGACGCGATTCAACAGCAAGCCTGCTAGCAACCTGGCTAAACTATGTGGCGACCATGTTGGTAGGGGCAACGTTCTCATCACAAGGAATGGATCGACATTGAAAGTAAGTCAGAAGTTTCTCGTTTTTAAAAAGATTTTCACCAGGCTTGTCAACAACAAGAATTAAGTCCAACAGTTACACACAACATTTGGAGAAAAAGAAGTGTGGAAGTCCACATGCTCACAAGGGTTGAGGATCGAACACACAACCTTGGGATTGGGAGACCACCACTCTACCACCTGAAAGTCCAGGGATATGAATTTGAAAGGGACCGTTTCATTTTGAACAAAGCCACATTCCCAGTTGTACGAGGGTGTTCAGACTTGTGCAACTACATGATCTCAGTTGTTAATTTTGACACAGCAGAGCAGTGCTATCAGATGCTAAAGCGCTAACACGTGACCAAAAAGAAAAGTTTCGAGCACAGCGTTCAATGAGCTCTTCCTGTTAGCATGTGGCTAGCGGCCGGCGGCGGGCAACTAACTGGGCCCTAGTCACATGACCCCAGTTCACCAGTCACATGACCTATGAGGAGGAGCAGGAAGAAGAAGAAGAAGAAGAAGAAGAAGAAGCAGCAGGAGGATGACAATGAGGATGACGCAGGAAGTCCCGCCGCGAGGGCGCTTCCCCGAGAGTCGGCGAAGAGTTGCTGCAGTAACAGCGTCACATTTTGATGCTTTCACGTTTGAACGGTGGAACGTGAGGCCAGCTGTCACCATGGTAACGTCCTCACAAAGACACACCAGAAAGAAGACGTGTGTGTGTGTGTGTGTGTGTGTGTGTTATTTGTGCGTTTGTCCATACTGTGCAGGAGTGTGTGTACGTGTCATTCAAGTTTATGTGTGTGTGTGTGTGTATATCCACTAGTGTGCATGTGTACATATGTGCCAGTGTGTGTCTGTAATGTGTGTGTATGTAGCCACGGGTGTGCGTGTTTACGTTTGTGTGAGTGCCCATCTGTCAGTGTGTCTATCCATAGTGTGCGCGTGTGAATGTGTCTGTTGTGTGCGTGGGAGTGAATTTGCGGGGGTGTGTCCATTTGCCTCCCCACGATGTCTTTTACGTGCGTGTTATTGTGTACATTTTTTTTGTGTGTGCATGTATGTCCATCTGCCTGTGCGAAGTTCCAGTCTGCATGACTTTTTGTGCCGGCCGGAGGGTGAGCGCATCACCTTGGTCTCCTTCTCCTCCAGGAGCGTTTCGAGTCTCTTTTGCGCGGCTCGCCCTTCGTGGTCATCACTGACGATGAGGATGATGTGATTCCAGCGGAACTCTCGCATTAAGTCGAACCAAACGCTGGCCTGGTGCGAATACGGCGGAACCGTACGCAGGAAGGACAGGTGGATGCTCTGCGGGCGGACGGGCGGCGGGTTAGCGGGCGAAGCGAGCGTGTGCCTTCACTAGCGGCGAGGCGAGCGCTCACCTTGTCGGAGTAGATGGACATGCGCGTGGTCAGGCCAACCACGGGGATGCGGTAGAAGCCTGCCGTGTAGGACACGGGCGTCGGCGTCAGGTGGTCGTTGGACTGAGGCGGGTGGCTCACCAAGATGGCGTACACCTAAAACAGTCACAAAGCGTCGGCGTTTGTGCGAGGGAGGGAGCCTTCGTCTATCACTTTGGTGGGTGTTATTTGCCATGTGTGTCTGTGCTTGTTGTAATGGGTGTGCACAAATGTGTGTTTATTACATGCGTACATGTGTCTGGACGCGTGTGCGCACGCGTGTATCTGTGTGTGTAATCCACGCGTGCGGATGAGTGCGTGATGCCGTTAATCTGACGTCCATCTCGGTGGACGGCATGTTGGCCTCGTTTGAGCCGCGGGTGACCTCGTGAAGTGCGTGTGTCTCTATTTGTGCGAGGGTGCGTGCGTGCGTGCGTGCTGCGAGTGGCCAACGATTGCTGGCCGCGATGATGTCGCTGCTTGAGCATTCCAAGCCAAGTGAAATTCCCAAGTCCCCAAATACTCTCGTTGCCCCCATTTGACAGTTTTCTTCGGCACTTGAGGACGCTTTCTACGAGACTGCCTACTCCGGCAACATTTTGGAACTGATTTGAACCCTCCCAAATTCAAAATACTTTCCACATTTTTGCAGTAAAATAAAAACGAATATTTTTTTCCTACACCTTGAAATCATATTGGACTGAAACTGCACATCCCCTACAGTAGGTGGCAGTGATGCTCTCAAGAGTGTGTGCAGGGAGTATAAAAAATGATGAGAAAGTTATTCAGCATGTATTTTTTTCTTTGTTTGAATGATAAAATGGATATAATATTCTGAAAAGGTGTACTTCTAATGATTTTAGAGGCAAATGACACTATTTATAGTCACAGCGAAGATTTGAGGGGTGCGCAAAATATTACAAGATAAGGAATGAGGAGACGGCACCAAAACAAAAGTCTATGAAAGCCCATTTAGGGCAAGTCCCCCAATTAATTCCGCAAGCATCGGGTCACTTCGGATTCGCATATTCAGCACGTGCACACAATTTTGGACTTCACGTGACAGCGGGCGCATCTCGCTTGTAACGCGTGTTGCGTTAGCGGCGAGCATGTACGCCCCGGACCGGACGATTGATTTCCCGCATGGTCTGACCTGGTTGGAGATGAGGTCCTCGCACACGGAGAGCGCCATCTGGATGGCGTTGGCTTTGTGCGTGACGGCGATGGCGTTCATCTTGAAGCGGTCGCGGCCGTACGCGGCGTTGGCGTGCGCCACCGCGTCGCGGAACACCTGCTCGTAGCGCTTCTGGCTCAGCACGGCGCCCACGTTGACCACGCGCGGCTCGCAGCCGCACAGCGCCACCGCGCCGCAGTGCAGCGCCAGCAGCAGCAGCGACGCACGCACCTCCACTAGGGGGAGCAGATGAGCGCCGTTTAGTAGCATGCCGATGGCATAGTTGTCATGTCACTTATCAAATGTTGGCAATCCGCCTAAAAATATGACAAACGGCCTGCGCACACAAAACACGTCAGCAAATAATTATGCTTTACACACAGCAGAAGCACATTTGACACACTTTGAACTCAAAACAACACTTAAGACAAACATGCACACCACACTACAACACGATACAGCACACATTTCACACACACAAAACACACACAATCAACATGTTTTTACACACAAGAGCACATAAACTCTCACACACAGTAACAACCAGCATTTCACACACAACACTCGTTGAACCCAAAACAACACGCTTAAAAGATACATACACACACACACACACACACACACACACACACACACACACGAGCCTTTGCACACAAAAACAAATATAGGACACACAATGACAACACGTTTAACCCACAATGGCTCACTGTACACACACCAACAACAGTGCAAACAACACACATGTAACAAACACACACAACATAGAAGATTTTTTTCCATAAAGATACACAATGCACACACAGTCACACACACACGAACAAGGGTTTTTACACACCACCCTCTAAATAAAAACTGACTATAAACCATGCACCCACACAAGAATTCACTTCATGCATGACACGCAAACAATACACACGACAAATAAATCGCACTGCAAAACCACCATACACACGCACAACAGACTACGCACAGCAAATACAAGATTTACACAGACAGCACTGCACGCCGCAATGCACACTCGCGCGCGCGCGCGCACACACATACACACTAGTTGGGTGAGGGGGTTACCACATGAGCTGCACGGTGTTCACGGGTACGATGACGTCACCAAGTACAGAAGGAAGTCAAAGCAGGGGTTCACAAATAAAAGCACTTACTGTTCGTTCGTTTGTTTGTTTTTTCAGAATAAAAGCATCCGCCGATTCCCTCTTGGCTCAATTAGCCCAGCTGCTTCCGGTCTCCTTGGCGCGTCCGTTGGGCCAGCCACAGGTCCGGCTTGTGGCTCGGTTCACGGTTCGCTTGCTTTTTACGGATGTCGACGCGCTGGTCTCTCTCCTTCTCTTGTGTTGTTGTTCTTTTTTGGCCGTGCGCGCGCTCAGCCCTGTTGATTCCCGCGCACAAGCACGCGCCACACGTCAGTTAACGCACGCGCACCTTTCCTTCGAAACAACGACGCCGAAGGTGAAGATGACGAATGACGATGATGAAGAAGAGGATGCTCGCGTCTCTTGCCCTTGATGCTCGCGCGCGCGCGCACTCCCGAAACGGCGACGACGACGGGCGGGATGCGCTCGGCCCCGTCAGCAGCGAGCACGAGCGCGCGCGAGCGAGCCTCGCCGCGTCCCTTGTTGGGGTTTAATCAGGCGTGCGCACGCACGCACGCACGGACACACACACACACACACACACACACACACACACACACACACACACACGCACACACACACACGCGCG